CCCATTCGAGCCTCACTCAAATGCCCCAATGTTTGGTCGCCCAACTGTCTTCTCAATATGTATCGGATTCATCCACATTTTCCTCGGGGATGTCTGTTGAGTATTAGATTCTTGACTGGTTTCTTCTTGTTTACCCTTTCTGGATATTTGATCTTCAGGATGTGGAGTCAGCTGAGGCAGCTGTTGATAAAGTATGCAGTGGCCCTTCTCGGAAATACTTTTTAGGATTCATGAAATTTCTTCGCCGATGATATATGTCTAATATGTGTGATGAGGATATCAAAGCCAGAATCGGAAAAGCAAGACAAGCTTTCATTACTCACGTCAAGTCTGTGTGGAGGTCAACAGCACTCAGCATGAAAACGAATATAAGATCCGGATTTTCAACTCCGATTTGAAGTTAGTGCTACTATACGGATCAGAGACTTGGTGCCTCATAAAGAGCATCTCAAACAGACTTCAGACCTTCATTAACAGATCTCTTCGCTGAATACTACTCAAGATCAGATCGCCGGCCAGAAAAGATTAGCAACAGAGATCTCTGGGAGTGAACCAACCAAGCAGGAACCGATTGTGCAACAAATTGGCGGGAAGAAATGGAGTTGGATTGGTTATACTCTGAGGAAACCATCAAGTGACATCATGTTGAAAATTCGAATCTTTTTTCTTTTCTTCCACACATATTTTTATACTGATGAAGGGCCTGTCTTATTTTTCCTACCCCCTGTTGTGCCGCCTGTGGTTAAAACTATGCTGCATAGGAATAATAATAATAGTAATAGTAGTAGTAGTAGTGATACAATCAAATGAAATACTTGATTTACCATAAAAGTCGAATATATTCTATCAATAATGCAGTTTTGCCAAGCCATGTAGGTGTAATATAGATTTATAGTTTTTAAGAAAAAAAAAACTACGTGGGCGGTATCCTTCAATTACAATGAATGAAACTTATAAGTAGTACACACTTATTACACTATGAATAATCATGCCTCATCATCATCACTGACTGACTGACTGATCGTTGATTCATAAATTGGTTGTTATTCTCTCAATGGTTGTTTCTTATATGTGTAACTAACTGTTGGTGATTGCATCATACCTATGGAGTTTAATGTCACTCAGTCATGTAGAAGTTGAACAGTTTGAGTTTTTAAAAAATAAATGTGATTCACATTAACTCTTGTTTATAATATTTGATGATGGTGATGATGAGATTGTTTGAATTAGTCTTGAATGGATCATAGTTGGTGATTGATGTTGGTGAAAAGCAAATCACAAGGATCCGGATCTAAGTAGTTTCTTTTCAACTACTAACTAAATTGAGTTATGGGGTGTAATGAAGATATATGGCTCATTGATATTACCATTTGTCATTCAATTAAATGATGGTTTTAAGATCAATCTCCTGTCTGTCTATTGTAGACTAGATGACTGAGTAGTTGGATCAGTCTCCAAATAATAACCTGGTGTTTAAAAAATCTTAGCCTGTTAGCTTAAGTTTTAAGTAACCAACTAAGCGTAATATTTACCACAGTTGCACTGTTAATTCTGAACACCTTGAGCATCGATCTTTGAATGTTTGGCATACTATTCACTTCCGTCAAATGTAATATGATGCTACAGGACTGGACTGTCTCACACCTCTGCTCACTGTTTCTATTATGCTTTTCTTGTACTTTCTTCTCTTGCTTCGCGTGCTACACGGAATGTGGCGACTTGAACTTCCGCACATTTGTGCATAGTTCTATGTCGAAAACAGACAGACAGGACTGGAGTAGATGGAATCCTAGCTTATATATATATATATATATATATATATATATATATAGTGAAGCGGTGGAGCGTGTTGACCGCTTCACTTGTTTGGGAAGTTGTATCAGCCCCAGTGGGTTTGATCACTGACGAAATCTCAGTACGGATACTACAGAGGGCTCGTTCGGCATTATATGCCAACTGACGCCATCTCTTATGTAGGAATAACCTAGAAAAAAAGACTCAGCTATTGTATTGCGTTTACTTGAATTTAATCATCTCACAATAGGTTGGATGGGACAGGGTGAAAGTAATAAAATGTAATATAGTTAGGTGTAGAGAGAGAGAGAGAGAGTATAAAAATTGGGCACTGTGATGGAGCATAACTCCATTATGGATAAGATTTTATTTTGTTAAAGTCACAAACAGCGGTGTTATACAGTAATATTAACTGATGACCACGTTTCGAAATCTTATCCATAATAGGGAGAGAGGTTACTCACTGAATCTTTTTTCATCGATTCCACACCGCACACTTGTAATTGGAGTAACACAACGCCTATCCTGGAGATATGGAAAGTGACAACAAATATTATTAAGGGGAAGAGGGAGAGAAAGAAAGCGAGAAAATTTAAGATAAATTATGAGGCCTTGTTTCTATGAGTTTGACGACGACGGATTGATGACAGTTAGAGGTTCATTGGAAACTAGTACTGCAGTACGGTAGTATGCACCCACTGTCAGGGTTCGAACCTAGGACCTTCCGGTTACAAGACAAGCTCGTATACCATTCAGCTACTGGGAACCGATCCACTGGCCAGCCGATGAATTCTAGCTTCTACCAATTCGTGATTTAGCGCAATTGTCACCAACCAGTGTCATCGGTGGGAAATCCATCCTCACATTTGTCTGGTTGAACGGTATACGAGCTTGCCTTGTAACTGGAAGGTCCTGGGTTCGAACCCTAGCACTAGGTGCGTACTGCCAATGATTCACAAAACTAGAGGGATGAAACAGCTGTCCAGTACTCCCTGGGGATGGTTTTCAATAGTTCTCTAACGGATATAAATCCGTGATCGAACCTGTAAAAACAAATATAATCCTTACAAACCAACTGTTGAAATATGAAACCATGTGACTAAACTGAATATGATTATGAGTAGCGATAAATATTTACACTCAAAATCTTTTCACATCCAGTTATTAATGCCTGCATCATCATCAGCAACAGTGTGTGTGTGTGCGTGTGTGCGTGTGATATTTCAAATAAACTTATCTAATTGTGCAATAATTACATCCTACCACAGTGCTCAAGTTCTCTACACTCATATATTAATATTCTGGTCGACAGGCACTTGAACTCATGTGAAAAATGGGCTAAATCCATTTTATCTATCTGTCTCACATCACCCTCTTCATTCACAACTCTCCCCTTGTATCTCATCAGGCAGAACCAGAAGCTTATATAGAAAACTGCATGCTCGCACTAGTAAGCAGAAAAACTCAACCATACCCTACTTAACTCGTGTTCTGTGTGATAAAGAAAGCATCAGATGTGATACCTACAACTTAATAAATAGTCAGTAGAACAACTGGGTCTCGTCTTTCCAACTCATATCGTTTATAGGTACAACGTTTTCTTTTTTTCTTTTCCTTTTCTCTTTTTTGTTGTTATGTGCTGCTTTGTTTCTTTCTTCCTTACAAACTCTACTTAAAACATTCTTCTTTGTTCTTTCACACTCTGTATATCTCGACCTTTTTGTTGCCGCTTACGCCAGCAAATATGCTAGTATCCACTTTTCTAACACCTTCAAACACTGTTCAATTTTGGCTTTTCTACCGACATGCCAATATGTTATTGTCATAACTGAAATTTCCATTAACCTATGTAGAATTTTATTTATTGTTAATGTACTAACTGGATGCAATACTGTAGTAAAATAAATGCTGAGAATTCCATTCTGTATCACAAGTTATTTTTTTGTACATCGGTGGCATAGCGGTTAGGATGCTTGCCGACATTAAACATGGTTCGGGGTTCGATCCCCCGGTCACAGACTCACTCCTTTACCTCGCTAAGCCAGAAATAATGCCGGTTAACAGGAAAGGTTCTGTCTGTCTGTCTGTTTTCGACATAGAACTTTGCACATATGTGCGACAGTTCAAGTCGCCACACTCCCTCCATGTAGCACACAAAGCCAGCGAAGAAGAAAGTACAAGAAATGGATAATATAGACAGTAAACAGATGTGTGAGATAAAGGAATAGTAATGACGAAGAACAATACAGTTTCATTGGAAATCAGAAGTCACAAGGAGTGGATGCATCTCCGTCAGCCATTGAGAACGATCACTTTGAGCCATGTCACCAATTGTTTCCAACCAACGGTTTCTACCGTCCCGAGGACCCCGACCAGTCAGGAAGTCTACACCTTCCTGCATGGGTGGCTGGCTTAAACTAACTGTTGTGGATTTGATTGATTGGTGCCGCCATGTTTTGGTTTGACCGCTGCTAGCTCTTTTCCAGCCTGACCCTATCTATATCAGCTAACATTTCCCATAGTCGAGGAAGGCGATGACTAGGCATACGTAACACATGTCCTTACCATCTCAGTTTTTGTAACTTCACAACTTCGTCGATTGATTTCCCCTGTTTACCTGGCAGTCGATGCGTAACCTCAATATCGCTCACAGGGCAGGAGTGATAAATATGCTACTGAGATACACAAAATAATAAAGAACAAAAAAAATAGGCCGCGCGTGACTGGCCTCAAGCAGTTGTCTCCTGGGCTCTGTGGTCACGCAACCAGCTTCCACGGTGTGGGCAGCCGGGAAGTAACAATCGCCCTCACAATCCGAAAAGAGGAAAGGTTGGGGCATGAGTACTGTTTTGGAATAAAACAAATTATCATTATTATTATTATTACAATTTCATGTATATATATATATATATATATATATATATATATATATATATATATATATATATACAGTGGTTAGGACTCTCGCCGACCATGCACATGGTCCCGGGTTCGAGCCCACACCGACGCACATCTGATATCTATGGTCGGCCTGCGAAATTTGGGCTACCGATATCCATTCTGAAAATTCCATACTTGTACCAAAAATACAGTGTGGAATCAAGCTGTAAATCAAAAAAGAAAATATATATATGTATATAGTTGTATTTTAACCATTGCTTACATCTTCGTCTTTTCGTTATGAATTGCTTTACAAAAACATATAGAATGTGCAGTCCAGACTCTGAAGTCTCAGACGACTCTATTATACGTCGTCCAGATCATCATCAACCACCACAACAACAACAACAGCTCGAAGAACAACATTATAAGGAGGAAGAAGGGGAAGCCGAACACGATGACTATATGCCTGATGATAATGATGAACAAGTTCAACAGACGTCTGTAGTGAATTCGCTAGTTTCTACACCAAATCGTAGTCTATCACCAAATCAAAATATTGTCAGTTCAACACATCCAAACGATGATGATGATGAATATGATCAATGTGGTGTGACATCAGTTGGTAAACAATTCAATGAAGAGGAACAACAACAACAGTTCCAGCAACAACCACACGATGAACTGTTGGATTATTCAAGTCTAGCCCAACAAGCTTATTCATCATCAATGCTGTTGAATAATAATACCAATGCATCAATGATACCGACTACTACAAGTATGACTACTGATCATGGTGATGGGGATGGTGATGACGACGTTAATACGACGATGGGGAATTGTATGCCTTCAGAAGAAAATCTCAATGGAATTGCTACTACTACTACCACTACTACAGCCGCTTTTGAAAGTCAATTACACGCCGATCTTTCTGCTTCTTCTACATCCCCACCTCCTCCTCCACATCAGCAGCATCTTCATCAGGAACAGCATTCTGATGTTGATGATTTGAAAGAATCATTGAACCATTCAATGAATATTACTTCCACTACTGCTCCTACTACGATTAATAATAATTATCCGTATACAAATGGATTTAATCTCAATGGTGGTAATGCGAATGGATATTCAGGTTTTGAACAAATTCCAACAAATAATCAAGGTAGGTGGATATATCGATTTTCTCCCTCCGCATTCCCACTTTTGTGCTTTAATAAGTGTCCTTTTTTTTATTCTACTGGTTATTTTTTTGCTATTTTATTATTCCGCTGTGTGTGTGTGTGTGTGTGTGTGGGTGGAGATGAGTGGTAGTTAACAGATCCCTTTGATTATAGGTGTCTGCATTCTGTTTCCCTTGTTAAGTGGTATAACAAGGTGAGTGCGTCGGTGGCACAGTGGTTAGAACTCTCGCCGACCATGAACATGGTCCGGGGTTCGAGCCCGCACCGACGCACATCTGATATCTATGGTCGGCCTGCAAAATTTGGGCTACCGATATCCATGCTGAAAATTCCATACTTGTACCGAAAATACAGTGTGGAATCAAGCTGTAAATAAAAAAAAAGTAAACTATTGAGGTTAGATTTCGAGTGTTATGTAAGGGGGGGAGTCAATTGATTGTCAAAGTTGTCAAGGTGAATTGATTGAGATAGTTAGAACATGTGACCTTATTTGATTACTACCCATTAATAGAATAAGGTATCTATTACAGTCCTACAGGATGGGAATTACTACTCCGAATACCTCAGTGATAACTTTGTCTCTGATTGCAACACTCTTGGATGCGGGGTCAAATCTCAGTGGACATATGAATTCCTTCAAAATTGCAGACATGCGTTGCTGACGAGTGCCAGCCAACAGCTACGAAATCTAGGTTGAATGTTTCCTACCGATTGCCGTAAACCATCTAATATCAACAAATCAGAGTATACCGTGACGTCGAGCCACCTAACATAGTGGCCACATTACAAACCTGATTGATAGAATTCTGTCGGGACCAAATAAAGGACTAAACACATAACACCAGTTAATTAGCGTCCAATTAAAGTGTCTAATACAGTCTTACAGGAGGTCGATTGCTATCCTGAATAACTCATTAACAATATTTTCTCTGACTGCAGCACTTGGGGATATGGGTTCGAATCCCAATGGGAATATGAATTCCTCCAAGGTTGCGTATATACTTTGCTTGACTGACTGGTGTGAGTGACAACAAGCTTAAACCCTCTTACGTTCAGCTGGAGTTCCTCACCGATTGCTTTGAATCATCTAACATATGTATTTATTCTATCGCGTAAACAGCATTTCAGTTCACATTCTAGTTCACACTGTGCGCTGTTTTTCTTCCTTTTTCACATACTGCTGAAACTTGTTAACCAGAATTTCTCTTTCTTCTGGGAAAGAGAAGCGATTGTATAAAATGCATTTGCTTTATTATCATTTTTTCTATCACAATTAGTGTATCAGTGATAGTATAAAGTAGAAAGCCTGCTGTTATTTTTATCACAATTGGTTCATCTCAATTGGACGCTCATTATCAAAAATAATCTGGTGTGTTTTTTGTTTTCTTTCGTTTTGTTCCCTGGGATAAATAACCCCCCATATCGGTTAATCTACTACTTTTACTGTTGTCCATGAAATTTTCATCCTGATAACTACTGTAGATATGGATATAATTATTATATTTACGAGACTAAAAGTGATCATAATAATAATAATAATAATTGTTATTATTATTATTATCATTATAGCCGTGATATTTTCACTTTAATTGTTTCCCAGTCTCAATTTCGGTTATTTTGAAGTTGTAGGGCGTGTAGAGAGATAGGCCGATATATAGATAAATAGAAAGACAGACAGACGGATAAGGCTGGCGAACTACACGTATTATTCTCTACACGACCGATGGTGCTACCTCGACTGAAAGATAAAGTATCTAGACTAGCTAGCCACTTCAAATTGTATCTACCAATTCAATTGCGCTAGTTGTGGAGCGAGTTACATCGACCGTTGCTCTATGAACTTGATTTTTCGTGCTCACTCCAGAACATATCCCACTATGGCTAAGTAAAAGTGTAGTGAAAACCATTAACAGTTCGATATTGGACCATCTGGTGCCAAACGACCACATAGCCAGCCAGCGTGGAAGAATCCTTCTCTATAATCTACCGGGTGCCTAATAAACTGCCAAAATCATCGAAGCACCGCATGCTCCAAACAGCAGAGGCTATTGCGATTCGCCTCAGCACAACCAGTGCTCTGTGTTCAAAAGAAGCAAGTCCAGCCACTACTACTGCCCTGGTTGGCCTTTAGTAGAGACTATGAATTCATGAATTTGTAATATTATCTTTCCTAATTTTTCTCATATTCAGCTTATTTTATGTTGATGCTGTTGAGCTGTAATCTATCAATATTATTATTGATTCGATGTTACATAAACAACATTAAGTATTGTTCATAACACTCATTCACAATATTATATATATATAAAGCAATAAGAAGACGTAACTTGTCTGAATCGTGTAATGTTGTATTTGTGCACAACACATTTCGAACAATCTGATCACACTCCACGCAATTGTCATAGGAATATATATTTATGACATGAATAAAGAGTTAAGAGGTGAGAAAGTTGACTACTTAGGTCAAGTTCAAAGGACGTATTCAAGGTCATAATGACAATGAAGATCACTAAACCAAATAACAGAGGTAATAGTACATCTGCTATTGTATCAAACAAAATTTACCAAGGAATGTTTAGTGTGATGTGATGAATTGTTGCTTTGAACGCATAAAGGTGGTTTAAACTTTCTAATTCCTAGCTAGGACTTCCAACAAAGTTTAGGATACGCCCCAAACACGTTGCATAGATAGATAGGTTTAAAAGATGTGTTCACGTCAATTTTATGTCCTGTCTCTATAATATGTTTCGCAATAGAGGAGCTAGGTTTCCTGTTCTCATTAATAATGGGTTCTGAAGATTCTGTTTATTTCTGGAGCCATTTAGGAATATGCTCTGAAGCCAGCCCTTATTTGTGTGTCCACACATACATTCAAATTGGTAAATACAATGGGATGTGGCATCATTTTTCGCATGTTCGAAGGGCTTAGATAGATAGATATATTAGCTTGACATTCTCTATTCTTATGATATTAGCTGCATAAAAAGTCTTTTTAACAGCAGCGTTTAGTCTTTGTGTAGTTATCAAGCTGCTTGGTATGATGCCCCATATAGGGTAGCTTGATGTAAACGTCTTTCTTAGTGGCGAGTTGGAGAGTGGGTCTTCGTGTTCTGACTACTTTATATCTCCTGGATAATTTTTATCAACCAGAGTTTGTATCAACTTTCTTTCCTTCTCATCAAGTGTGTCTGTCTTCAGTGCATAGTCGTTGGATTCTACTGAAGAGGCATCTCACTGACTAAGGCTGTTTTGTATCGAACAGGGCGGATACTGTGGTAATGAAGATACTCTCCTGTCCGGGTAGGTTTCCTATAAATAGATCTTTCTATGTCTCAAATTAGCAGAAGGTTATAGATTCGAGCTGGGGTGATGGTTGCGTACTTCTGAAGAAGACGAAACAGCTATCCAGTATTCTCAAATGTTTTTCCAGTCGTTCTCTAACGTATGTCATCAACTCGTAATCTAACTGACTGACTGACTGATTTCAACATAGAATTGCTTTGCACAGATGTACACCAGTTCCACTTGCCACTCTCCCTCCATGTACCACATAAAGTAACAAAAGAGAGTAAAGAGTGATAATGAACACAAGAGAGAGAGTAAGGGAACAAAAACAGCGGTAATATGGAAGAACAATTGTCTGCCTCCAGAAGTCATTGGCTTTTACCATCCCACGAACCACAACCAACCACATAGTTTACACCTGCCTATGTGTCTGACTGGCTTAAACTAACTGATATGGATTTGATTGACTGAAGAAGCGATGTTTTCGTTTGACCACCACTAGCTAACTCCTTTTTGCAACCTGAGCTTATATTAGCTAAGATTTCTTGTCGAGGAAGCCGTTGCCTTGGTGTACATGCGTGACACATTTTTTAACCATCTCAATAGATGTAACTTCGTAACCTCGTCAATCTATTTTCCCTCAATGCCTTTCCTCAATATTTCTCATCCTATTATGTCACCTAACACGGGAGACAGAAGGCAGACACCTATGATGAAATACAGATAGCTAGCCTTTTCATATCTTCCATTTTCAATGGCCGCCATCTCTTATAGCCGTGGAGGAGGACAGAGTGAACTGCTGAGCATTACAGATGTTTTTTAGTCGTCTCTACAAGAGATAGCGTAAGTTAGCAGGTGGCACACGATTCTGTTGTATCCTTGCTGAAACATTGCGCCAGTGATCAACCCGTTGGGGATGATGCAACTTCCCAAATCAGTAAAGTGGTCAAAACACTACCATTTCACTCGTCATATTTGTATATTTCTAGTGTGTATTTCCCTTCACTATTATGCCAGTTTACGCCGTCTCTGGCGTAGACGTGATACCCAGTGGGCTATCGACCAAAGGGCGGGTGTACTCCTCGTCAGTCCGCTCCATCCTCCTCTATGCCTGTGAGACCTGGCCATTGAGAGTGGAAGACATGAAAAGATTAGCTGTATTTGATCATAGGTGTCTGCGCTCTATCTCCCGTGTGAAGTGGTATAATAAGGTGAGCAATATTGAGGTTAGGCTTCGGTAGAGTGCTAGGTAAGGAGGGGAAATCAATTGACGAGGCTGTGAAACTACATCGACTAAGATGGTTAGGACATGTGTTACGTATGCCTAGTCATCGCCTTCTTCAACGGACGGGCGATGTTAGCTGACATAGGGTCAGGCTGGAAAAGAGCTAGCGGCCAAACCAAAACATGGCTTCACCAGTCAATGAAATCTACAACACTTAGTCTAAGCCACTTAGGAAGGTGTAGACTTGCTGGCCGGCTGGTTAGGGTCCTCGGGACGGTAAAAACCAATGGTTGGAAGCAATCGGCGATATGGCTGGCTCAAAATCGTTCTCAATGAAGGCTGGCGGAGATGCATCCACTCCTTGTGTCTTATGATTTCCAATGAAACTATATTGTTCTTTGTTATTATTATTCCTTTCGTCTCACACCTCTGTTCACTGTGTCTATTATGCATTTCTTCTACTTTCTTCTCTTGCTTTGTGTGCTACATGGAGTGGAGTGTGGCGACTCGAACTGTCGCACATCTGTGCAAAGTTGTTCTATGTCGAAAACAGACAGACAGACAGACAATTGAAAGCTCTTTTAAAATTTCATTTTTCTCTACCTTGATGTAGTTATATACTTGTAGTGTGTGTCCACAACTTGAGCTGATGCAATTATAGTGTCAATTAAGTAGATGAATTCACCTGTCACACTTATTATTCTGAGCCAGTTCTCATACTTAAATTGTTCCACTATTGTTGCTAATATATTGCTGTCATTTTCTTTAATACTCGACAGTTAAAAAAACATGATGGTGAATATATACTTTTTACAAATTGAAGAACTGAACAGTTCTATTAAAGCTACTTCCAGATAGTGTTTCATGTATTCATCGAAGTTGGTACCATGCTGGCACTCATCTAGAAGTGACTGATTGATTGATTGACTGACTGACTGAAAGTGACAGATTGAAAAATGATGTACACAGACATGTTTGTTATTGATTGTCTTCTTCTTCTTCTTCCATTCTAGGGGGGGGTCTTGACCTTAATTAATTAATTAATATATTTATTTGCTATCATAGCATGAACTGTTTCTATTGTGCTGCACTCTGTTTATCTTGAAGAATAGTGATGAACAATGATTCTTTTTTGTTTAACTGGGTCTTGGGGTGTGTGTGCGTGAGTGAGTGTATCTCTTTCATTCAAGTGAAGCACAACACAGATAGACCATGATTGTTTTCACGAAAAGAGTCTAATAAGCATAAGAAAAGAAAAGGAACAGACGATTGAAGTTGTTTTGTTTCTTTTCAACTTTTCTATTATTGTCTCTTTTAAAGCTAAAGAAATCTCGTGTCTGTGTTTGTGTGTGTGTGTGTGTGTGGACTACGTTTTAGTTAGGTAGTTAGTTAGTTATAAGAGTATTTGAAATAATGTCTGTAAAAGTCTTCTATCTGACTGTCTATGTGTGTTACACCCATAGCTAGTTGTAGAAAGCATGGAATGAATTTGTTTATTTACTTATTTGGAATGAGTAGACGCCAGCTATTTCCAAAAACACTCCATTGTTCCCATAGTTTCCAAGTGGAGCATAGGGCTTCAACAAGACATTTCCATTTTGTCCTGTTCTCTGGTCAACTCTTCGTTTCCCATTCGGGTTCCATGTGAGCGGAAGGTCTGGTGTGCGATGTCATCCAACGGTTTTCTTAACGTTTGTCCTATCAATCTCCATTTTTACTTTGAGCAATAGGTTCTTGATTGGTTTGTTTATTTCAAAGTTTTTTGTTTTTGTTGCAAATTCTTCTTGGATATTTAATTTTCAATATGTGGAGCCAAGGTAGTTGTTGATGGAAGTCGACAGCAGCCTGTTGGAAGTGCTTATCGTGATGTGCGGGTGCCAAGTTTCTCACCTACTCACATAGTTTTGCTTCTTATGCGGATTGCAGCAGATCTACCAATTGACTTCAGCAGCATAAAGGTCTGTCTTGGCTTTCCAATCCTGGCTGGCCTTGAGATCATCATCATCATCATCATCCGCGCAGACTGCCTGTAGTTATGAAACGATGCTACCCATGTGAGTGAACGAAGTGATCTTCTTCAAATTTATCCCCTTGATGGTGATTGGGCCTTGCTGTTGGTTATTTTCATCACCTCCGTCTTTTTTAGTGTTTATTTGAAGTCTTTCCTGTTATCTGTGCCTCTTCTACCAGTTTGTTGGTTTTCGCCCTGTTAGTCGTCTTTGAGTCTGTGTGACACTCAACATAAGTCACTCGCGAAATCCAGATCTTCTGGAGTATTCTTATCTGTGATCCAACGTTTTCCTGTCTCTTTCATACATTTATTCCCCTTAATGAATTTGAACAAAGCAAGAACTACAGTTTTAGTAGAATAAAGTGGTACCATCAACGCTTATTTCGTTGCCCTCTCCTCAGCTCAGCTGTTTACAGGCCAAAGACATTATTAAATATATCTACAACAACAATTTTAACATACTTGCATAGAGTTCAGTTTAAACAAAAATTAATCGATCAATATATGCATACACTAAAAGTATATATATATATATATATATATATATATATTATTATTATTATTATTATTATTATTATTAAACACTAATCCGAACAACAATAATAATCATACACAATGGAAGCTTATCAGTATTTCGCATTCAGATGAAAGAGAGATGAAAAGTATCCAGTTACAGAAGGCTGAGTACATCACTAATCATAGCCTATTTTACAGCTAAGCTCGTCCCCGTCTGTCAGACAACTTGCTCTTCGGCGCAATCAAAAATCGATAGATATCCTTCTCATGTTAACAGCTCCGACTGTATTTAAAAATTTACATGTATCTGCCGGAGCAGTTACGTTGGAAGAACAGAAAGAAGAAGGGCATATCCACGATTTTCCGAACATGTTTCAAAAAGCTTACGTCTAAAGAGAACAAATGCTTTAAACAGTGCCATCCATCGCCAGGCATCTCCTCGACATGGGTCATGAGGTGGACGTCGAAAAGTCGTTCAAAATTATTGATAGGCGAAAGAGCTCAATTTGCTGAAGCCATTTCCATCAAGCGCCTGAAACCTAATTTATGCGTCCAGAAATATATATATATATATATATATATATATATATACATATATATATATATATATATTGTAGATATTGTTTCTGTAGATATATTTAATAATGTCTTTGGCCTATAAGCAGCTGACGAGAAGGCAGCGAAGTAAACAATGATGGTATCACTTTATTCTGCTAAAACTGTAGTTCTTGCTTTGTTCCTTCTTCTCGCTTCATGTGGTCTTCCGCATGCTCTGGTCTACCACAATCAGGAGTAACATCGGTGAAATTAGGCAGCTTTTTCTAACTTCTGTATTCACCTCAAAGGGATTCGCTGAGTTTCCCAGTGTGTATAGTATCACTTAACATGTGTGATACTGTCATTATTAGAGCTGTTGAATGATTTGACATAATTAATTGAAAGTTGTTTATAATGCTCTTTCTTATGTAGTGTCATTGTCACTAGACTTACATGTTTAATTTAACCTTTGAAGATACAACACATCGGTGATTATACTGCATGGAATTGTTTCATTTTCAGAATTTAACTCTATTTATCACAATGATTAGCCATAGTTTTCGTTTAAATTTGATTTTGTCACGAAGTCATATTTGACATGTCAGTTAGAGAATCATTGTTGAAAACCCTTGGAGCACTTAACAGCAGCTGTTCTGTACTCGTTTGGGACTCTTATAAGTGATGAGTGCTGACCCTAACCACCCCACCCTGCATGGAACCCTGGATCTTGGGTTTGTACACATTCAGTAACCTATGTATCCTCCAAACTCTTGTCAGTTTATGAAACAGTGTTCCTGCCCGGTGCTATTTGATGTTTTCATGTAGTGACTCCCTAATTGATATTGGTTCTTAACGTTCATTTCTGCATTTTATTCCTTCGCGTTCTAAGTGGAACGTAAGGCTTCAAGCTAGAGGTTTGAAGTTTCGGTAGCAGGGGTGTTTATTTTTCTTTACGGAGTAGTGGGGTCGCTAACCTCATGCCCAACTTCCCCTCTTTTACCGGGCTTACTATCGGCCGAAGGAGGTAAAGGAGTCGAACCCTGAACCACCACCAGTGAATATTATCGACACTGGTTCTTAACAAAATCTCTACAAAAGAAACAACAACCTAATACTTAAAAACTTTTGCTGTTTTTTTTTGTTTCCATGTAGGTTTAGATGAAAATCATCATTACAACTACTTGTATAACAATAGTAATAGTAGTATCATGAACCAATCAGAACAACCAAATCAACTGCTAGAGACAATGATTGATGATCATGATGATGGTGCCGATGATGATCATCACATTACTACAAGTGAATTATTGAAATCTGCCCATCTGTCGTCGTCACACTCACCGTACACTTCTCTTCAAATGTTCAATAATAATGGTGATGACAATGATGATTTCACTGGGAATGACCAGCCAGTAGCGACAACACCGAAAACACCTCCTCCATCAGCCACCTTGTCGGTTAGTTCATTGAAAGAACTCGACAACTTGAATAGTAGTAATAATACTAAGGATTACCATGGAGATATTATAGATCATCTAATGCAAGATCCACATTATGCAAATACAACAATGGCAACAACAGCAACAACGCCAACTGCAGATGAATCAATATTTGATCCAATCAAACAATGGGGTCAACCACTTGGTCTTCCAGCACCAGTACCACCGAGTACAACAGCAAATCATCATATGAAGGGTAAGTTTTATCTGTATATGCTTGTTTTTTCATTCATTTGTGAAGTTTGTGTGTAAACTATTATTATTTTATTCCTTCACGTTCCCCAGTGGAACATAAGGCTTCAAGCTAAAGGCTTGAAGATATGATAGAGAAGATTTGTAGCTGAGGTGGATGATTTTGATGTGGTTGTGTTCTCTGAGCTGGATAGTTAATTTGCGAAGCTTTCATCGCCCTAATAGGCAACATCTTCAGCGCATACGTCAATTTTTTGAAATGAGCTTTTGGATTCCTCCACGAGTTTATTAATCATCTCTCCTAGTGACCTTGGACCTCGTGATTGGTTGTTTTTGTGTGTTTTCACACCTTCTAGGTTACTTGTATTGGAACTGATTGGAACTGATCAGTTCTATCTCAGAGAACACAAGCACACCAAAAATAGTCTTGAAGTTTCTGTAGCAGTGTTTATTTTTACAGCATGGGGTTGCTAACCTCATGCTTAACCTTCTGTCTTTACCAACTTTATTACTGGTTTAGCGAGGTTAAGGAGTGCGTTGGCGGCCGGTGATTGAACCCTGGACCATGTGCATGGCCGGCGAGCGTGCTAACCGCCATGCCATCGACGTGTGTAAACTAATCAATATATAAAACTGCATTGTGGAGAAAATATTTTAATTTTGATGATAAAGTTTCGCAGTGTGTGTGCTATGCATTAATATTGAGCACAATTTATTACTGCTCATAATCATCATATCAAGGCACTACTCACAAAACGTTTCGACTTTATTTATATGTAATCTCACCATTTTTCATCTCTTGATTTGATTGATAGTAGTTGCACTTTCTATATCTCTGGTATTAGTGATGAATCATTCTTATTACATGCGTTGGGATATTCTGAGATCCTATGCAGGATTTTCTATGAAGCAGGAATTAAGGTGGCTTTTAAACCTACAAACTCACTTAGGTAGGACAAACTGTGTAGGTTAAAGGACCCTGTAGGTTGATCCGATCAGACAAAATAATATAATTTACAAAATACCTTGCAATGACTGAGTTAAATCAACTGTATAGGTCAAACCAAATAGATCGGGGGTAGTCAGATAATTAGAATATAAGAATATTTAGCTAAGCGAAGAATGATTGACTCCGTGAAGATGAGTAATTTAGGAAAAAAAGCTCATCAATTGCATTGAATGCACTAACACATAACCACACAATAGGGGATGGAGACGAAGAGGGAGGTTGATTACTGAAATTTTGTCCATAGAATCTACACCAAACACGTGCAATAGCACCATTGGGTTGGGTCCCAATGGCTTATTGGCCTACGAGCTCGCTAGTCTTGTAACCAGAAGGTCTTGGGTTCCAACCCTGGTCTGGGGTGCGCACTGATGAGGAGTCCTGAAGCAGCTGTCCAGTACTCTAGTACTGGTTTCCAATGGTTCTCTAACTGATCTCAGCTGATGATCAATCCTGTATGTAATATGCAATAGGAATGACTCAACTCAGATACCTGAAATGTAGGGCATATGACTCCCCATCAAATCCAGGAATGAGAGAAATAATGGAATTATATAAACGAAGTCATAAAGTTCTGTGAGTAGTGGCTTGATGCGATTATGAGCAGTAAATTTTCAGCATATTTAATATGTACGTGTATGTAAAACTTGGATACCGTGTTAGTTAGTTAGTTAGTGTGTATGCAATTCCATAATTATTTATTTATTCACTAGGTACGTCATAGATTGGTGAAATAATGTTATTGTTTACTTGACAACGGTGTTTCAAAAACAATTTATTATTTATTTTCAAATGATTAGATTTCGTAACGAAATCAATACCAGTTAGTGAGATTAATAGAAGCGAGGAGGCACACAGGGGGACAGCAGCTGTTTCGTCGTGTTTGTAGGCTCCTATCACCGCTCACTCATGACTCTACGGGGGGTGGGGTCCAACCAAGGGTCTGCAGGTTACGAAACCAAGTTCGTTACCTGTTCAACCACTGGGGTTGAATTTTAACTTTATCAATTCGTTTTGTGGTGCTCTACCGTTATCAGCAGCGTCTTCGATGAGAATTCATCACACCTTTGACATGGAAGACACCACTGGTCACGATTTCTCAGTAACAGTTTGAGGACATCCATCTATTAATTGATATTTAGATAATGGAATTTGTAAGGATTCAGATTAATTTAATTTCGTTACAAACCAATGTGAGTTAGAGAGATCGTTGAATGAAATCTACGTAGTACTGCACAGGTGCTGTTTCGTCCTATTTCGGGGCTCTTCATCAGTGCGACAGCACAAGGGATCGGACCTGTTGCCTTCGAGTTACCAGACCAAGACTCTTTGGTTGGGTTCGATCTTCGGTGCAGGCGCTGAAAAGTCACCAAATAGGACGAAACGGCATTTTTTTAGTTCATTGTTCATTAGTAACTACAGAGTGTTTTCAAAGCTTGGACTTTTATAGGTTTCTTTCTTCTAACCTATTTGTCGTAGTAATAATATTGGAATTTTATTAAATGCCCTGAGCAGTTGTTGAATCATTCCTATTGCTTGTATTCTCATTTGATCCGATAAATATACAGCTTCATCCATTAATCCCTCCTTCTCACCCTAATTCTATTTGATTTTAACATTGTCACCGTGAACAATCCCAGTGTACAGACGACGTAAATACCGGACATTCTAGATAGAGATGATAAAACCGATAACAGGGAATTTAGAACATCATTTTGTGTTCCGAGTAGAATAAAGAACTTCAAGCTTCAACTTTGAAGTTTCTGTAGAATTGGTTTTATTTTATACTGCGGGCGGTGGGTGAGGAGGAGGAGGAGTTGTTAGCCTCATACCCAGTCTTTCCTCTTTATCAATGTGTAGTGTGATTGGAGAGTATTCTAACGGTGAACAACCACCGACACCAATCAATATTGCTAACATACAAAGAGGGAAGCTATGAGAGCTTACTTAAGATTCTCGATAGCAAGGCAGGAATAAAAGTCTCATTTAATCAATCGTCTACAAACCCACTTAGAAATAAATTATGTCAGTTAAAGGACTCTGTAGCTTATAGTAAACAAAATAATTTAGTTTATCTATAATACCTTACAATCACATAATGAGGTTAAATAAATAAATGCATAAATAGGTCAAAGTAGGGTCAAATTAGATTAGCAGTGTATAGAAACTAAACAAAATCCACGCTAGTAGCGAGACGGAGAGGGGGAGAGAGCGACCCTTATTAGATTAAAAAAAAATCTATAATTTAGCCCAGTTATAGCACTGAATGCAGTTAGTTACACACAATACCACATGCAATTGGGATGGATAAGATTGACAACCCTAAGCTCTAATATAACAGCATTCATAGAGAGAGAGAGAGAAATGCGTTAGCTGAAGCTTCACTTATTTATGTATTTATAGAAGCAACTAAGAATGATACATGCAATAAGAATGATTCATCACCTATCTCTCCCTGGCATCTGGAATATTCTGCTCCCCTTAAGACAAAATACGGAGGAAGGATGGATGATTTTCGAAAATTGTAAAGTTGTAATGTATTTTTGGTGATATGATGATAAACAATGTCATTTTGTAAATATGACACGATTTCACTCTGTGATATATATATATATATATATATATATATATATATATATATATATATATATGCATAACGCCAAGGGCGATGGGATAGTACATGACCTAATGGTTGTGTGCAAATAATTCCATATTAGTTTGTTTATTAAATGTATCACACAGTGAAACAGTATTGTATACTGGATGACGTTTCGAACACAATTCATTGTTCATAATCATACCAATTTTTGTCACACGACTCCGAGATTTGATTTTTATAGTTTCTCTGTCTTCTCCTATTTGTTGTATGGGCAGTAGAATTTTCCATATATCTGGGACAGGTGTTAAATCATTCCTATTACACGTATTCTCAGCCAGTTGATTCGATAAACAAAGTTTCTGTTATCAATCTCTCCCTATACCCTGTGACATTAGATTTTAAAACTGTCATCCTATCCCATCCTATTGTATGGTTGTGTGTAACTGCATGTAGTGCTATAGCTGAACTACTCTCTAGATTTCTTATCTTATTCGGGTCAACCAGTCTAGATTTAGCTAGGTTTTTATGTTCGGCTAGTCTGACTGCCCCTGTTCTACTAGTTTGACCTATGTATTTAACCTCACAATCATTGCAGGGTATTAGATAAACTAAATTCTTTTGTTTTAATGGCTCTACAGGATCCTTTAACCGACAAAGCTTGTTTCTAATTGAGTTTGTGGGTTTGAATGCCACTTTTATTCCTGCCTTGTTAAGAATTCTGCGTAAGGCTTCCGAGGCTCCTTGTTTGTATGGAATTACTGTTGATGATTTACATTCCTTATTCTTGGTGTCGTTATTAATATTATTATTATTATCACTATTATTATTACCATTATTATTATTATTGTTATTATCACTATTATCACTATTTATTTCATTTTTACATTTACTTACATACTTCTTGACTAATTTATCCGGGTAATTATTAAGTTTCAAGGCTTCTTTTATGTGTATCACTTCCTGTCTTAGATTTTCCTTGGTACTACTTAGTTTTTGTGCTCTGTCATTTAAACATTTCACTAATCCTATTTTTACTGACATAGGATGGGATGATCGGAAATCCAAATATCTGTTTGAATGTGTGGGTTTCCTGTGAACAGACATTAGTGTTTAACTTCCCATCTTCTGTCCTTTATACGTTGCAGTCTAACATTGGAAGCTGCCCTTCCTTCCTGACTTTCCAATTCATAAGTGAATTGAATTGCCTCTACCTTCAAGTGTGCAAGGTTTGAAGAAGGTCGTGTGCTATATGCATGCGCCCAACCTTAATAATGTTTGGACGGGATGGTCGAGTGGTTCAGACTATGTAATCCATTGCGGCTCCCCTCCGTCGGTGGCACAGCGGTAGAGTGCTCACCGACCATGCCTTATGCTGTCCAGGGTTCGACCCCCAGCCACA